AAAAAAAAAAAAAAAAAAAAACATCGTTATAAATAAAAAAAAAATATTGCACTTCAAGACTTGTTTAAGATTCGCAAATATTCCGCAGTCAGCAGCAGCTCAAAGTAAAGGTATAAAGAGAAAAGAAAAAAAGTGTTAAAAGTCAATAAATTGCTCCAAAATGCTTTAATATATCAATATACACTGAGCACTTAACAAAATTGTAACTGCCAACAATGCTTTTCCACCTGTATCCTAATTTAACTTATTACGTAACAGTGAATGTTTTAGCAGAAAGATATATGCAGTTTTTGAGTTGCAATAATATTAATATTATTACATCAAATTAGGCATGAAAGTATTTAAGAATGAATAAAAGCAGACTCTAAAATAAAAAAAAAACAGTTATCTGTCTTTTTTAACAACCCTTATACAATACAGTTATGGAAAGCGAAGACTGCCGCCGTTGCTGCTGTGTCGTTTCGAGGATTGCTAAGCAGAGGTAGAAACCAAAAATACAAACTTGACGAACATCCAAAACACCTTTAGTGAGAAAAAAAAAAGAAGAAAAGAAATGATGAAATACAACAACTCTCTTTTTTTGGTAGCATTAAATGTCGTCAAGGTCAAACCACTGTGAAACGACTGAAAAAGGATGATAGCCCCCTTAACTACGCCTGTTACTGTTGTCTTTGCTCTCTTTCATCCAAATTTGCCAGGGTTTTCCTTGAGAAAAGACAAAATTGAAAGAAAAGGTAAAGATCGACATTAAAAAAATGTTTTTTCTGTAAGTGATCTACCTGAACATTTTTGTTGTCGCATGAATCTCGTTCCTATATATCGCCACCAGCACTTCGACCACATATTTTTGTTTCTTTGAGTCACCCACGTAAATGAAGAATTTAATTTCCGCTAAGCCGGCAGGAAAGGTTACAAGAAGACCTTGTTGCCTGGGTGCCGAACAACCAAAATGTGTAGACTGTCAGTGGGATTTTTTGGGGTCAAGAGGTGAGAGCCAAAGAAGTTATTGAAGGGCGCAGCAGCACTCAAGGATAAATTTGGCTTAGACTGGTGGTAATTAGCCAGAGTAGTCGATATTTTTACACTTCAAAGGTTATCAGCAGTGTCAACTTTTGATATTATGAATATTAGTCGATGTATTCAACGCCAAATTGCTCAATTATTTTTTCCTGCTTTTCAATTTTATTAAAATTACCAACCGCAGCTACCACCACCATCACCACTGCAGCGTCACAGCGAACATCATATTTACTGTCTCAAAAATGAAGGAAAGAAAGATCTAACATAATGACGAGCACTATGAAAAAAAAATTATGCAAAATGTTGAAAGCTGACTTGTACTTTTGCCTACCCTATTAAACAACCACCAAAATTCACAATTTAAAAAAAATTTTCCATTTTTTTCTAACTCTTATTAACGTATGCGAGAAAAAAGCACGAGTAATTAAAAAAATTCTCAAACAATTCCAATAAAAAAATGGTCTAAATTTACTTAATTATTATAAAAATAAAATCGTTAAAAAGTCAATGTATTTTTAGTAACAATGGTAGT